ACTTTAGCCCGCCACACTCCTTGGTCCATGGGATTCTCCAGGCAAGAATACTGGAGTGGGATGCCATGCCCTCCTCCAGGGGATCTTCCCGACCCAGGGATCAAACCCAGGTCTCCTGCATTACAGGCGGATTCTATACAGCTGAGCCACCGGGGAAGTCCGTGGCTAGGGTGAGCAGGTATATGTTCTTAAGGGGGCACATAAACAGCTATTCTGTAAAGCATGCAAGGAGCATTACGTGTTACTTTATGTGGTGTCCCATGAAGGCATTATGTGTTGGCATTATCAACAGTTAGAAAGCATAGATTTGTGCCCTTTGGGACTCAGCTGTCCCCACACCCCTCTTCTGTGCTGAAGGTTACAGTGCTGACCTTATCTCCTAATCCTTTATAGGAGATGTTTAGTCACCAAGGAGGATATCAGTGTGTGTAAGTAGAGCAGAGGTGCTGCAGGAGGGGGCTAGAATCACCTGGAGTCTCTAGAGTAAAGCAAGGAGCTCCACAGAAGCCAGCAGGTTATCTCATTTGCTGCAGAAATACACACACCACTTTGAACACTCCAGAATCTTTCCCGCTTATAAAATGTATTCCTGAAAATGCAGTGACAATTAGCAGAAAATCTGCTAAGGATGGCAAAGTAAGATGCAGGAGCAAGACCATAGGAAAGTGATCAAGTCAAAAGGTACCAAGTAACAATGATTAGGAACAGGTGAATAGACATTGGAAAGGTCCACACAACATAACAGCAGAAGATAAGATGGTTAGATAGCATCACTGACTCAATGGACATGAATCTGAGCAAACTACGAGAGAGAGTGGAAAACAGAGGAGCCTCGTGTGCTATAGCCCACAGGGTCCCAAAGAGTCGGACAAAATGACCTAGTGACTGAATGACAACAACAAACATAACAAATATTTCAATAAAGTAGTTGATGCTCATATAAATACACAAATAAATATACACTCATATGAAAATATATATATAAATTTTTAACTCATATATTGCTTCTATTTTACAACTAATGTTTATTCTCACAATAAGCTGACTTTTTTTTTTTACAGTGTACTTGCTTATTTGTGCTCTTATAATAATTAAGAACAGGGGCTATAATGCAAACTGACCTGGGTTTGAGTCCTAGCTTTCTTACTTTCTAGCTCTGTGATTTTTAGCAAATTACTTAAATATTCTAAGCCTTAATGTCCTTTACTGTAGAATGTGGGTAATAGAATGTTACCATATAGATTAGAGTGGGGATTAAATAAGATAAAATGTAATATAAAGTGCCAGAATAGTCCTTGGGGCAAAGGATATGCTTAGAAAATAGTACATATTAATATAAATGGTCATTATTAAACTTTTATAGACCTTTACAATACCTCTCTGCATATCATATTGTGTTTAGTAATTCCTGTATTAAACTAGAGTTTCATTAGCCCTTCTCACCACAGCTAATGGGTATACGTTTTGTGGTAGTAGTCATGGTAACACTAAAATCCAGCCTAGCCTGAGAGATGTCACTTGTTCATTCAGAGTTTCTTGCTTGGCTGGCTTCTCATCTGTTCAACTTCCAAGCTTTTTACTCTGGAAAATTTCTCTTCTCTGTATTAAGTGGCCTTAAGTGCTGTCATAAGTCAAAAGATCTGAGAGCTAAAAACAAGTAGAGTATTCTTAGAGTCTTCAATATTCCAGATGAATCAGAAATGAATCTACCGAGAGATGCTGCACATCTCCATAAATACCAAATGTCAATCTGTGGAAGTTTAGTGTGTATGGGTGAGTGTGTGTGTGTGTGTGTGTGTATAAAATGGTCCCCTGCAACCAAACATTGACAGAGTTATACTTCACTCAGATAGTTCCACTAATTTTAAGTGGTAAAAGGAACCTTTCAGTAGTCGTATTCCCTTTCCATTAGAAAAGTAATTTTAGCTACTGAGATTCAGTCCCTGAAATCAGGACCCTGGGACAGGTGGAAAGTGTAGTCCTCAAATGCACTGGGTGCACTGAACTGGTGTTAAATATAGCTCAGCATCAGTAAGAGGGGGTTCACATATTCTGTATCTGATGTGATCCCTGTCACAGCATCATAGCTAATAAAATTAACAAAGTTCTGCTGAGCTCAACATTATACCAGGATGAATGGCTGGGTCTTTTCAAGGGAAAGTGTTAGTTGTGTCTGATTCTTTGCGACCCCAAGGACTGTAGCCCACCAGGCTCCTCTGTTCATGGGATTCTCTGGGTAAAACTACTGGCGTGAGTAGCATTCCCTTCTCCAGCGTATCTTCCCGACCTAGGGATCGAACCTAGATCTTCTACATTGCAGTCAGATACTGTCTGAGTCACCAGGGAAAATTCAAGGGAAAGAGGACTCAAAGTAGAGAAAAGAAGACAGGCATATTCAAGGTGTGCTGGAAGGACCCAGTCTTTCAAAACCCTACCCTTCCTATACTGCCCTGCACTGAGGAGGGAGGTAGGTCATTTAGTCCCAAGTTTCAGGAGCCTCAGCCACACCTTAATATGAGTTTGTATCACCTCAGACCTCCTCTGGAAAGGCAGCATTGACAGTGAGGCACTCTTGCCATGGAAAGGGAACTCAGACATAGATTGGACTTGGGTTTTCAGAGGAGAGAGCAAATCCAAAAGGGAAGTCACAAAGAAATAAAAGGGTTTGAGTACTTTCTAAGGACACAGATTAGTGACTGTGTCAAGGGTTGGCTTGAGGAAGCTTTAGCGATCCCTAAACCCTCATCATTCTACTCCCCCGAAGCCACACATTAAGCATACAAATTAACTTTGTGGTTTCAACTCTGACTGCAGGTCAGAATCACTGGAGAGGTTTCAAGTGATACACAAGACCAGTTAAAGCAGGATATCTGGGCTTGGGGCCCAGGCATAGTTTCCTGGTTTATTTCTTAAGTTCCCAGAGTGACTACAATGTTGAACAGATTGAGATCCAGCATCTAAGTGAACATGATGTCCATGCCCTGAAAACATAGACTTAAGGCAATTCTTCCAACCAGCTGACCGCTCCTGCCCTCCACCAAAGTATATATTAAAGTTAGCAGTGCCATGAACTGCCTTCTTTTCTAATTTTGGAGTTAAGTTTTCTCAGATTCATGTAGAATGTTGCAAACCCCAGTCTCTCTGTTCTAGGCAAATCTGGTCCTTTAAAGAAAAACATCTGCCAACCCTTAAATGACAGTCATCTCAGCTTGCGTCTAAGAGTAGCATTACTACTATCTTGTAAGAGTTGAGCACTCTTCTAGATGTTTCACATACGTATCACTAATGCTTATAACTCTGCAGAGTATATACTACTGTACATTTCCAAAATATATCTAGAATCGCTCTTCTTCCTCCACACACTGCCTCCATCTTAATCCCAGCCACCATCATTTTGTCATTCCACCTACTGAAACAGCCTCTTGCCTTCAACCTTGCCCTATTCAGTATATTCTCTACACAGGGTGGTCTTTGAAAAGCAGAAGGAAGGCTGCTTAAGGTCCATCAGTGGCTTCCATCCTTCTTGGAATAAAAGCTAGACTCCTTCTCAAGACCTGCAAAGTCCTGCCTGATTCAGATCCAGCTTCAACTCCACTTTCATTTTGAGCCTTTCTTTCCCTTGCCTACTGTGCTCACACCGACCCACTTCTAGTTTGAGAGCTGCTATCTTATTCAAGTATGATTCTTCCACATAGAACTCCTGTCCTGACTCCCTTCAGTCCTGCAATGTGCAGCTGGACTATCACCTCCAAAGAGAAGTCTTCTCTCCTCACCATTTAAGCAGCCACCCACTCTGGCTCCATGCGTTTTCTCTTGCTCGGCTCTATTTGTTTCCTTCACCAGACTCACCACATTTGGCAAGTATTTACTGTGGAGTTACTAGTTTTGTCTGGTTCTCCCACTGGGCTGTCAGCACTTCAATGGCAGGGGTCTCACCCCATCTCTCCTAGTCACCAAAGTACCCACAGTGCTTTGTTCAACGCCTGGTACTTAGCCATTTTGTAATAAATATTTCTTGGATGAACAAAGAAGCCCATTTTACAGATATCAAATAAGCTAATTAACCTGCCTGAGATCAAAGTGCTATAATGACTATTACAGCAGTCTGTCCCTCAGAAGAAAAGAACTTTTTACTGGTGTTTATATAGCAGTTTCTCTCTCTCTCTCAAAAACAAACCAAAAAAAAAAAAAAATCTACCCTCATGGGACTTAATCCTGGTGAGGGAAAACAGAGCAAAAAGAAATTAAGGAAAAAAATTATATATATATATATGTATATATATANCATTTGAAAAGACCCTGATGCTGGGAAAGACTGAGGGCAGGAGGAAAAGGGGACGACAGAGGATGAGGTGGGTGGATGGCATCACCGACTCAATGGACATGAGTTTGGGTAGGCTCTAGGAGTTGGTGATGCTCAGGGAGGCCTGGCATGCTGCAGTTCATGGGGTCGCAAAGAGTCGAACACCACTGAGCGACTGAACTGAACTGAACTGAACTGAACTATCCTGAAGACCTTAAATGACTGTAACTGTCCTGGATCTCCTTTGTTCCATGTGTCAGCTAAACCACAGCAGTGACTATCCCTGTGCTAAGCACATCAAGCTGGCAGCTTGAGGTTAAGAGGGTTTTGCACCAGTGGAAATCCTTAAACTGTGCAAATGTGCTCATCTCAAAGCACTTGTCTTAAGTGTTTTCTATCCTGCCCAGTGAGAAGTTTCTGTGTTTTATCAGGTTGAAATCCAGCTGGGCCACTGATAATGCCAAGGGGGGATGTGACCATTCACCTATCATCAAATTCTCTTCTATTGCTATCTTGGAGAAGGAAATGGCTACCCACTCCAGTATTCTTGCCTGGAGAATTCCAGGGACAGAGGATCCTCGTGGACGACAGCCCATGGGGTTGCAAAGAGTCAGACACGACTTAGCGACTGAGCACGTTACTAGCTTGGGCACTGGAGTTGAGTTTCTGATGGTTGGATCTGCCAAAAATTTCTCACCTGCACAGTTTTGCTGTGGCTCCCAGTGAACACTGATGCCCTCTCTCTGGCAGGCCCGGGTATATGCCAGGAATGATTCGCAGTAACAGTTTTTATGGACTGGACATTCACACATGTCTGTCACGCAGGACCTAAGAGACCAACAGAAAGAAGTGAACATTCAAAAATATCAAATTACTAAGTATCCTAAATACAACTGAAGAAAAGCGGTGGGTGAGTGAATGTCAAACCTTGTCTAGACATTTAAGACTGTTATTTTAAATTGGAAACCTAAAAATGGTATTTAAAATACTGCATGAAACCTTACTGGATACCTCTGAATAATGTGACATCAGTTTCTCTTTCTTCTAGAGCAGGACAGGTCAATAGGACTTTCTTAATGATGGAAATAGTCTATAGTCTCCACTGTCCGAAGTTATAGCCACTCATCATATCTGGTCAATTAGCACTTGAAATGTATCCAGTGTGAATGAAAAATCAAATGTTTCATTTGATTGAATTTTAATTAACTTCAATGTAAACAGTTACAAATGTCTATTTGTTACCACGCTGGGAACACAGCTCTTAGAATACACTGCTATTCAAGGAGCTGCCATTTTGTGAGTAGCTCTGACGTATGAGTAATAAGCTCTATTACGATATAACTGAAATAGTGACCAATTTGATAAGAACATCAAATCCCTTGGCTTTCTGAAGACATTCAATTAGGATTCACTTTTCCAGTATCTTATAATCTTAGTCTTTTGAGGAGCACTGATCCTCGTTCTTTAGAACGTGGGGTGACAAATTCCAAATAAAGCAAAACTTTCAGGCCACTAATTAGACTGAAAGATATAGGAGATTGAGCCAAGGTCCTTGTTTTGCTTTTTGCTCAGTCTCTCAGTTGTGTCTCTTTGCAATGCCATGGACTGCAGCTTGCCAGTTTCCTCTGTCCACGGAATTTTACAGGCAAGAATACTGGAGTGGGTTGCCATTTCCTATTCTGGGCAATCTTCCCAACCCAGGGATTAAACCCACATCTCTTGCATCTAGGTAGGTCAATTCTTTACCACTAGCGCCACCTGGGAAGCGCCTAAAGGGCTTAAGTTTAAATATGGAAATGACTGGCCAAGACGTAAAGAGAACTGAAGTGTGTTTCAAACACAAACTAACATATTTTCAAACACATTGACCTTGGAGACATAATAACCTCACATTGGACTATGATATTACAGTTTACAAAGGCCTTTCTCATTCTGTCTGTTACAAGTGCTAAATAGGACATAGCAGAGTCCCTGTTCTATTAATTAAAAATAAAAGTCATTCTACAACTAGGCCCAAAGTCACATTAGTAAGTGACGAAAAAGTGCACTAAGTTACATCTCCTGAGACTAGTGCTCTTTTCCCAGAAAGTTTTGTTGTTGTTGTTTTAGTTGCTAAGTTGTTTCTGACTCCTTTGCAACCCCATGAACTGTCTCCTCTGTCCATAGGATTTCCCAGGCAAGACTACTGGAGTGGGTTGCCATTTCCTTCTCCGGGGGATCTTCCCAACCCAGGGCAATGAACCCAAGGGGTGTACCGGGTTGGCAGACAGAGTCTTTACCACTGAGTCACCACGGAAGCCCTGCAGCAAGTTTACTGCCTAACAATTTTGACTTAACATTTTACACGAGACACCCAAGATTGATAAAATTAGACTACCCTTATTTTTTTTTTTCATACTCTGTTCAGTGAAACCACTTCTTTCCAGAATCTAATTCAAGGCTGGAAGCAGAAAAAATAACATTCAAGATTCTAAATAGCACTGATGATCTTGAAAAGTGGTCAGGACATGGTCATACAGTGTTCCTACACAAGCATTCCCTCTTGGTGTGAGATGTGTACACACCTGATTATAGAGAGTGACCAGCTTGCTCTGGGTAGAACTACCTGCTCTGAACAAGAATTAAATGGCAGAAACTATATTAAAAGATCAATAGACTCACCATGTACCTTCAAAGTTATTACATTTCAACACTCAAGGCCACAGCCTTGGGAAATGGGAACTAAGCTGGAACAAAAGAGAAACAGGTCTGAAACCTCAAGAGTGCTTTCATTTCATCCAAAGAGAGACTGTTTGATGCCTGATATTTAAGACACAATAATCAGGACAGAAAAACTGCTCTCTCTGCTCTCTGTAATAATCAAAGCTGTAATTCTTAATACCTTCTCCGCTTGTATTACAGAAAACTTGTGAAATCATGTTCAACCCTTTCTGATATTAGACACACATGTTGTGCCTTTAAAGTAACATGGAGCCTCCGGGTTTCCAAGAAAAGACAAATAAAGCCTGTCCTTACAACAGCCACTAAATGTCTGAGAAGGAACCCTCCTCAACATTATTTCCTTTGTTGTTTCAATTTTCATTTCAGACTAACCCACGCCCATCACATCTGCGCTCAGACTTCACAGCACCATTTTTGGCCACTCTGGTCCTACCCTCCAAGTCCATTTCTGCTTCACATGCTTCTCACCCTCTTTCCTGGCCCGGGGGTATGGGTACCCTTACTGTTGTACTCAACTCCCACTGACATGACATGAAGGGGATGGGACCTCAGGAACCTGGTAAAATGATGGTACTTATGTGGGGAAAATCTCAACCAGAGGAAATGCATCCTCTGATTTAAAAGAATGTCTAATGTAATTCTATAAAACTGGACAGTCAGCAAACAAAATTTAATTCGTTTGTGTGAAAGGATTGCTGGTTAGTGTTTTCCTTCTTTTCTCTTTATTTCTACCAGTTGTTGTATGAAGCTATTTATACAATTTAAAATAAATTATAAACAGCTCAATCCAATTCACTGAGGCTGCTGAGAGAAATGTTCAAAGCACATATTTAATAATTGCTAGGTACACATAATCTACTCTACCCACAGACTGCTCTGGACTCTCAGACACAATCAATAATACATCTACCCTTTAAAACTAAGGAAGATTTGAGTTTCTTCTATTACTTGGCACTCATGAGAAATAACATTTGAGGGAAAAACGTTTGTCAAAGTCAGTCCTTGACTTGAAATATGTCACATATTTTTAAAGGCTTGCAAGATGTGTCTTGTCACAGAAGTTAAAACTATAAGATGTCTTTTTTCACTTGTCAAGTTGACTTTTACACAAAATTGTGCCCAGAGTTTGTAAGAGAATGAAGAAATAGACAGTCCATACTCTGCTGGCAAAAGTGTAAAAGTGTAGCTCTTATATTGAGCACTTTGCTCTACTCAGCCTTTACATGAATTATCACATTTACTCTACACAGAACCAGATATGAGGCAGGTGGTACTACCAGCCCACTTAACAGATAGGGAAACTGAAGCCTGGAGATGTTAACAATTTCCCCAAGGTCACATGGCTGATGACAGATTCAGAACTGCAGAACCAGGACTGTAACAAAGGCCTTTCTAATCTCAACTCTCAAGTTCTTAATAACATTAGAAGATCTTTCTAGAGAGTAACTTGGCAATACTTAACAAATAGCCCTAAGAAACATTTTTATCCTGATAGGGAAATTTCATATCTAAGGAAATAGTAACTCATGTGGTTTATATACAGGGGTGTCATCACAATGCTATTAAAATGGAAAAAAAAGAAATAACCTAAATTGCTTACAATAAGGGCCTAGTTACATACATTTTAGGAGACTTCTACAATGAAATATTCTACAGACATTACAATGGTGTTTATGATGTACATTTTAAAACTCAAGGAACCATTCAGGAAGGATTAATGGAAAAAGAGCAAAACTGTTCCAGTCTTGTATAGTCACACGTGTGCTTATGTGCTAAGTCACTTAGTCGTGTCCAACCCTTTGTGACCCTATGGACTATATCCCGCCGGGCTCCTCTGTCCTCGGGATTCTCCAGGCAAGAATACTAGAGTGATCACACGCAGAAAACGATATACCCAAATGTTCATAATAGTCAACCCTGAGTGTGGCTCTTTCTCTTATTTCCCTGCATATTTTCTACAATGAACACGTATCACTTTTATAAAAAGATAAAACCACAGTGTATTTTTTTAAACAACAAAAGGAATGTCACAGGACACATTAATATTTTAATCCAAATTTAGGAACTAGAGTGAGTGAGAAAATAAAAGAATGGGAGAAAAATAAAGCTTCCATTTGTAGATTTTAGCTATTAAATATTTCTCCAGCTAAGATCTTTCTAATCTGTACATCAGAGGCCTCCTGACATAGGCTGTGATTTGATTCACTTTGCGTTGTCCTCAGATTTCCACCTCGTTGATCTAATGATGCTGTGAGCTTGACATCCAGGTGGATGGAATGGATAACGGAATAATTATGCATGCTTCTGCTGATAACAAAGGAATTTATTAAGAGGAAAATAAAAGCATCTTCATAGACCCGTCAAATTTCAGGGAGGGGCAAAACTATTGTTATTCAAGTATTCAATTCATGTTATCACGCTTAATACTTCAGCATGAGTGAAATCTAATTTATGACACAGCGGAGCTGAATTTTTATATGTTAATAGAAGATCATGGACCTTGCCTTAATCAGTATTCACCAATACTCTGCATTTATATTCATTTTACGGAATCAGTAGCAGAATGTTATCACTTTCAGTAGTTACTGAGATTTATGGCTTTGGTTTCTCTGCTTTCATGGCACTATTCTGTCAGTAATGTTCTGTTTGATGCTGAGTTCTTGGTCAGGAAACACCGTTGCTCATTGCTCCAACGGGAAACCACAGGATCCACTTCAAATGAGCTTTTCCAGGAAATCCCTGCAGGTAAAGAGCATTGGCCCGGCCCGAGCAATCCCTTTAAAGCATACTTTCCGTCATGGGAGCTTTTAATTAATGTACCTAGAAATGCTTTTCTAATTTATCCTCCCTGCCCTTGGCATCTTTCCTGACAGCAGAGAGGTGCAGGCAGGACTCTCGTTCCATGGAGTTTGCACAGGTGCAGAGGTATGGAAAAGGATGCCAAGGGCTATCACAGGGTCCCAAAGAGCTGGCGCCGTGCTGTTCTATAATGTCACATACCAACTGCCTCCCTTGTCTATCCATTTTATGTGCATGTGCCGTGTGCCATGTGTCAATAAGACCCTTTGAACACCTTTCCTCATAGCACCCAGCAGAGTACATGTGTCA